ACTCAGGTCTTCTGCAAGAACAACCAGTGTTTTTAACTGCTGAGCCATCTCTCCAGCCCCAGACTTTAAGATTTTGTTTCTTTAGTTTTGATTACCTGAGGTTTGATTGGTTCAGTTCTAACAGGTTCGATAGCTATGGTGGGTGCGAGGGAATTTTATTTTTAAATTATTTTATTATTATTATTATTTTGGTCTTTTTGACACAGGGTCTCCCTGTAGTCACAGCTGGCCTGGATTCACTATAGAGACCAGGCTGGCTTTGCACACACAGAGATACACCTGCCTCTGCCTCCCAAGTGCTGGGATTAAAGGCATGCACCACCACGCCAGGCTATTATTTATTATTTTTATTTATTTATTTATTTGTATGAGTGTATTGCATGTATGTAAGTTAAGTGTACCTGTGTAATGCAATGCCCATGGAACCCAGAAGAGGGTGTCAGATACCCTCAAGCTGGAATCATAATGTGGGCGCTAGGAACCAAACCCAGATCCTCTGCAAGAGCAGCCACTGAGTCATCTCTCCAGCCCTGGAATTTTATTTTTTATTTACCTTATAAAGTGTTGGATTTCCTTGTCTTAACACTTTTTCATATCTACTTATTCTTGTTTCTTTCTCTTTTTTTTTTTTTTTTGGTCTTTTTGAGACAGAGTCTCCCTGTAGCCCCAGCTGTCCTGGAACTCACTATGTAGACCAGGCTGGCCTTGAACTCACAGAGATCTGCCTGCCTCTGCCTCCCAAGTTCTGGGACTACAGGTGTGAGCCACCATGCCAGGCTCTCTCAGATATTTTTAAATCTGGGGCTGCTGCTAAAAAGTGTGTTGTGTGACACTACTCCTGGGGAGATGTAAAAAGGCATCTACTCACCTCAGATAGAGAACCTGTGACAGACCAAAGTAAAGATACCACCAAAGTCCAATTTGGTGAACCAATGAGTTTACTAGGGTTCTTGTAGAAATATGGGTGAGGGGTTACTTCTGGAGCTCTCTTGTTTCTGGTATTAGGTCCAGGAGACTCACTGGCTTATGATTTTAGGATAAGAGTCTAAATTCTTAATGTATCCCACTAGCAACTGCCTCTGGCCCTTACCTGCTTTTCTAGCTTTATTTTTCTCTCATCTTCTCTCTTGTTTCCAGTGCTGTGTTGATAGAACCTTTTCCAATTATTTGAAAGCTGTATACATTCTCCTGGTCTTATGATCTTTGCTTCCATTCACTCTCCCTAGAACACAGCCTGTGTTCCTTTTCTTTCTGAGCTAAGCCACAGTCCCACTGATGGTTAGTCTGTACAATATTTAGCACCAAACAAATCTGAAGCCTAAAATCTAAATCTAAAACATGAGGCTTACAATATGCCTTTCCAGATTTGCCACTTTTGTAAATTAGAGTACATTTTCTCTGATCACAAGACGCTGACATCTATGAGCTAAAAATTACTTCAGTTATACATCTTATTCTCTAAGGGATGTGGCCAAAGCAGAAGGGGATCAGAAAGGGAAAGCATTTTTAAAATAAAAGATGGTTGTCTTATTGGGTGTTGTGATGTTTTAATGTCAACTTGACACACTCTAGAATTACTTAGGAGAAGGGCTTCTGAGAATTTCTGTAAGAGATGATCTTAATTGTATTAATTGATATGGGAAATAATTACATTAATTACTGTGGGGTGCATCATCCCTTGGGCTAGCAGATCCTAAAGTGTTTAAGTGTAAAGAGAGAGGTGAGCACCACCATGCATTCATTTATTGCTTTGTGCTTTCTGATATGGATGCTGCATCAATCTTCTGCCACCTTAACTTCCCCACCACAGTGGACTGTACCTTGAACTGTGAGCCACAGTAAACCTTTTCTCCCTCAAATTGTTTTTACCATGGTATTTTATCACAGCAACAGAAAAGAAACTAAGATGGAAATTGGTACCAAGAGGTGGGACTGTTGCAGTGATAAACCTGACTCTGTAGTTTTAGGCCTTTGGAACTATTTTGTAGGAGGAATGTGGAAGAGTTTGGAACTTCGAGCTAGAAAAGCCATGATTGACCATTCTGGTGAGAGCTTGCAAGACAAAAACATGAAGAGATATGTGGATGGTGGGAATTTGGCTCATCAAGTTTCAGAGGGGAACAAGGACTCTACCAGGAATTGGGCTGGGGACCATTAATGTTACATTTTGGCCAAGAATGGTTCTATTCTGTCCATGTCTTGAGAACCTGAGTGAAGTAAATTAAGAGATAATGGACTAGTTTTTTTGCAGAGGAAATTTCAGTACAGGTGAGCATTCAAGCTGTGCTGATAAAGCATATGTGATTGTTAAAGAGACCAGCATCATTGAAGAGATGCCTCCTCGGCTGCACCAGGACAATAGGGCATGTGTCTTTGTTGTTGTTGTTGTTGTTTTTGAGACAGGGTCTCCCTGTAGCCCCAGCAGCCTGGAACTCACTATGTAGATGAGGGTGGCTTCAAATTCACAGAGATCTGCCTGTGTGCCTCCCAAGTGCTGGGATTGAAGGCATGTGCCACCACGCCTGGCAGGGAATGTGTCTTGAGGGCAAAACTCTGCTCCTTGGAGGCTCCATCTTATGAAGATCCAAATTCATTTAAAGAAAGAAAGTATAGGCTGAAGGAGTCCTATACTCCTTGAAAGCAACTGCCTAGGAGAGTGTTTCTTTCTTTTTTTTAAATATTTTATATTTATGTTTATGTGTATATTGCTTGCATGTAGGTAGGTGCACCTGTGTCGTACAATGCCCACAGAGGTCAGAAGAGGCTGTCACATCCCCTGGGACTGGAGTTACAGACAGTTGTTAGCTGCCATGTGGGTACTGGGATTTGAATCGGGTCTTCTGCAAGAACAGCCAGTGTTCTTAACCACTGAGCCATCTCTCCAGCCCAGGAGAGTGTTTCTTAAGGGTCAGCATACTGAAACTGATACAACTGTGGTCCAGGGGGGCTGATTCTATCCTGAGCTGGCAGTAGAGTTTGGTATCATCATCCATGTGATTGCTGGCTTTGAAGGCATGGAAGATGCAAGATTAAAGGGGTCATAAAGAGCAGCTAAAGTCAGTCACTGTGTGGCAGGATTGGTATCCCTGCAGAGAGCCCTTGGGAAGCCATTATGTGAAGCTGTCAAGATGAAGCCTCTGTTGAAATTGAGACTCCAGGATACTGGAGATGCCAGAACCATGGACTTCTGCCAGACAGAGCTGCTGGCACGGTATGGAGCCAGCCCAGAACAGAATCTATGTGTGCTGAGGGCACAGAGATGGAGGGGTAAGGCTTCTTAAGTCTTTTGGATCTCAGTTGATTATAAGCCCCAGATACTAGACATGCAACTGCAGACTTTGGTATTTGCCCTGCTGGATTTTGTGTTTGCTTTGATTTAATCATTCCTTGCTATGCCCCGATTCTTCCATTTGGAATAAAAAATGCTATTATATGTTGGAAGTATAGACATTTTAAAATTTTTATTTTATAGGGCTCACAGTTAAGAGCCTTTGGATTTTTAAAGTTTTGGAACTGTTAATGGCTATGGGAACTTTTAAAGTTGAACTGAGCATATTTTTGTGTTATAAGGCAGTCACAAGCTTATGAGGACAAGGGATTATGGCTTAACATGACATGTTTGTGTGCCAAGTTGACAAGGAGTGGAGTTGTAGTTAGTTTTGTCAACTATACACAATCTAGAATCATCTGAGGGAAGAGTCTTTAAGACCAGAAATTCTTTAAGAATTTCTGCAAGAGATTATCTTATGCTAATTGATATGGGAAGACCCACCCACTGAGGGCTGCATCATTCCTTAGGCTAGGGATCCTGGAGTGTGAAAGTGTAGAGAGGGAGCTGAGCACTAGAATGCATGCATTTTCCCCTCGCTTTCTGCTTTCTGACATGGACATGATATGACAGTTGTTTCAGCTCTTGCTGCCTTGACTTCCCCACCATGATGGATTATACTTTGAACTGTGAACGAAGATAAACTATGTCTCCCTTCAGTTGTCTTTGTCAGGGCATTTTATCACACAAACAGCAAAGAATCTAGACAGTTGTCACATCATTTGACTTCAGAACTTGTAGAAGAGTCAAGAAATGACAGATGATGAACAGCCAGGGAAAACCAATGAGAGTTAAAAACAGAAGGAAATTGCCAGTGAGTTCATCCCACTGGCAGTATTGAATGCTTGCTAGTCAATTGCTCTTTCTTTTCCAACACCCTCTGTGGAAAGAGCTGGAGTTCTGCTGAGGTTATGTTGGGATTCTAGATTTCCTTCAAGTGCTAAGGGAGTAAGTTAAATAAATCCATTCATGATAGTTGGATCTCAGTTTTCAGACACTGGGTCCAGTTGGAGATAATTCACATTTCAGTCTCCTCTGCTTCCCCTTTGAGACTGTTAGCTCCTCACTCTTAGAACCAGCAAAGGGGCTGTTCCTTTGTTACGAGGTAGCATCAGGTTAGCTCAGCCATTGCCTTGGAGTTGTCCATTGAAGAGCCAGAGAATGGTGGAATTCTTGCTCTATGGCTCTCTTGATGTAACACAATGACAATGTCAGGGACAATAATACCATTCCCAGGGTACTTCAAGCAAGAGATGCCTTGAGTTCACTTCTTGAACTCTGGGCCTCCAATCTCTATTCTGGTGGCAGAATCTCACTCTGTGGTTCCAAGACTTAGTGGAAAGAGCATGGTATTGGAATTGTAGACCTGTTCTCTTTCCTGGGACTCTTTTCCATTCCCTGTGCCTGCAAGGGTTCAGACCACAGGAGGCATGCCACACGGCACAAATGCCAGCCTTCTACCACTCCCCATAGTAGGCAGACATGGCCTCAGAGTCCTTCTTGACCAAACCATAACAGGTTGGTCTCAATAAGGCATCATCTCCCAGCAGGACCTCAGAGCTTTTCCTAGTACTACATGCCTGAGATTCTGAATATTTGCTTTGAAAGTTTCTTCATTCTGGAACTATCAAGCCTGGGAGCCTCATCTCATACCCTCTCTTGCATCCCACAGAAACCAGGGTGAAATGGCCCACACCTGCCGTGGAACCATCAACCTGGCCACTGCACACATTGACACGGAGGACTCTTGTGGAATCTTGCTGTTCAGCGGGGCAAGGACCTACCACCTCAAGGCTGGCTCAGAGGTGGACCGACAGCAATGGATCACCGTTCTGGAGCTGGCCAAGGCCAAGGCTGTCCGTGTGATGAAAACTGAGTCAGGTAGTGACCACTCAGCACTTGGGGTATATATGAGTGGTGTCATGGTAGACTGGAGGAAGTGGGACTCAAAAGCATTTAGGGAGCAACTCAAAATGTCGATGTTGGTGTGTGTCCTTTCCACTTGGCTCTGTGCATCCTCAGCAGTGAGAGTGCTATTCTGTTAAGGTGTTCACAGGTGGCTGGCAGCCCTGGGGATGGAAATGTTCACAGTGCCAGGGGCTATGTGTGCCTTTCTTTAGACAAGAATGGTGGTGAGGACTTTAGTGGAATGTTTCAGATGTTGCAGTGGCAGAAGTATGGTCTAGAGTGGGAGTCCAGGATGGAGTGCATATGCCTCTGTCTAGACTTGCCTCTTGCCCTCATTGTGGGAAGTGAAGACCATTTAGCCAGAGATGCTGCCTTGGCCATGAGGGCCATCAACTCAGATGTTCTGAGAAAGATTCTTTACTTTCATAAATTAATTTTAAATAGGCAAGATTTTTATATGATGTATAAGCCAATGGTTCCCAAATCCTGTGAGTAAAGTCTGTATGTGACTCCTGTCTCCTGCTGCCTGCCTTGTTCCCTCAGCAGACACACCAGTGGTGCCTGTGACTGGCATCTCTGTACATATGCTCAAGGAGGTGCTTACTTTAAAATGCACCACTCCAGCTTGCTTTGAGTGTTTACCTATACATCCGGTATGTTTCCCCTATCAGTACATTAAAAACAGCTTGTTTATTTTCAGTGTGATAATGGCTTGTCACTGTATGGAGCCTGTGGTCTGTTATGAGCTATTAGACTCTATAAAGATCTGCTTAGAAGAAAAAAATTTGAGTAAATTTTTATAATCGTGGATTTGGCAAAGGTTTTTTTTTTAGATATGACAACAAAAGCCTAAACAACCAAAAAAAATAGATAAATTGATTTATCAAAATTAAACCTTCTTCTGGGCATTGTAGTACATGCCTTTAATCCCAGCACTTGGGCAGAGGCGGGTGGATCTCTGTGAGATCAAGGCAAGCCTAGTCCATATAATGAGTTCCAGGCCAGCTGGGGACAGACACTGTCTCAAAAAAAAGAAAAGTCAAAAACTTCTGTGCTTTGGGATGGAGAGATGGCTCAGTGATTAAGAACACTGACTGACTTCTTGCAGAAGACTCAAGTTTGAATCCCAGCACCCACATGGCAGCTAAAACTGTCTGTAACTCCAGTTCCAGGGGATCCAACAGCCTCTTCTGTCCTCCATGAACACTGCACGACACAGGTACACTTACCTACATGCAGGTATAACACTCATACACATAAAAAATAATAAAAAAACTTCTATGCATTAAAAGTCAATTCAAGAAATAAAAAAATAACCCAGAAATGGTAGAGAATATTTGCAAGTCATATATTTAATAACAGTTTGGCACTGCAGTAGATAAAGAAACCTTTCAACTCAATGAAAAGGAAAACTACCCATTAAAAAATGGGTGAAAGGCCAGGTGTGGTGGCGTACGCCTTTAATCCTAGCAGTCAGGAGGCAGAGGCAGGCAAATCTCTCTTGAGTTTAAGGCCAGCCTGATTATCTACATAGTGAGTTCCAGGCCAGTTGGGGCTACAGGGAGACCTTGTCTCAAAAATATGAGGAAAAAAATGGGTAAAGTACTTAAATAGTTTTCCAATGGAGATACACAAAGAGCCAATAAACTTTAAAAAAAAAATCACTAGTCATTGAGGAAATACTGATCAAAACCACAATGAGCTATCACTTCACACCAGCTATGGTGGTTTTTGTTTTATTTTTTAAAGAAAGGAATATAGAAATGATCCCAAAAGATCATTGCTGTTGGGAGGGTACAGTGGTGTAGCCACTATAGAAAATAGCGGTCCTTCAATAAGTTAAATATAGGATTATCCCGGTCTGACAGTTCTACTCCTCAAAAACAACTGAAGATAGTATTCATACAAACTCTTACGACTGATAATAGCAGTTTCCACAATAGACAAAAAGTGGGAACAACACGAACATCTGTCAGCAGAAGAATGGAGAAACATTGCGATAGATGCACATGCAGAATACTGTTCAGCCATGCAAAGGACGTGTTTATATATGGTACATCGTTATAGTAACTGAAAAAAAGTCAGACCCTGAAAACCATATTGAATGGTTCCACTTATATTGAGTATCTAGTGTGAGCAGATCCAGAGAAAGGAAGAAGACTAGTGGTTGCTAGGGCCTGGGGGATGAGAGGTGGCAACTGCTTTATGAACATACATGTATGTAGTTTTCTTCTGGGGCAATGAACGTGTCGTAACTAGACAGAGGAGGGGACTGCACACACAACATTGCGAGTGTTAAATATTGCTGAACTGTACATTTTTAAATGGCTAAGAGGATAATTTTTGTGTTTTTATAAACAGACACAGACAGACAGACAGACACACACACACACACGTCATCTTTGGTGGCTTACCAATGTTTTCAGAGTAAGATCTGACCTCCATCGCCTTGGAAGTCAGGCCCTGTATGATTGGACCCCTCTGTTTTGTTTTCTGGTCTCTGTGCCAGCCTCAGGGCCTTTGTACTCACTGCTCTCCCGGCCACCCCAGCTCCTGCTCCTGAGCATCCTGCTCCCCCAAGCTCCCGTCCCAGCTTACTGTCATTTACACCACCCCCCTCTGTCCGGGCATCTTCATCCTTGTCATTTCCTCCACTGCATCTGTACGAAAAACTGATTTGTTTTATTTTGTGTCTTCTTAATAAAACTGAAGTTCCTCCAGGGTAAAAAGAGAACCCATTGTGAGCTCAGGGCCTAGCACTAAGCGTTGCAGTGGAGTCAGTGCCCAGTGAGGACCTCTTATGGGGCCAGTATTCCATGGCACCCTCAGCATCTCCAGATACCTCCTTGGTGGGGGGGAGGTCCTAAGGTGTGCTTTCTTTCTATTAGTCACCACTAGAACAAATGAAAGAGCTCCTGGAGGTTAGCACAGAGGAAGGAAGTCAGACCAAGCCTGGCCATGCTGAAAGGCTAAAGAGTTGGGTCTATAACTCCAGAATTTGGGTGAACAGGACAGAAGGATCATGAGTTCCAGGACAACCTGGGCCACCTGATGAAATCATGTCAGATGAGGGGGGAGGTTGGGGCCATTGAAAGGTGGTGGCCAAGAGCTAGCCTGGGTGAGAGGCCCCAGGTCCTTCCAGAGCTTGGTGCTGTCTTTCTAGGATAACTTTTCACTTTTTCAATTCTTCATTCTCCAGCTTTGGTGGAATATTCTATAGTAGCACAGGAGTCAGGGACAGGCCTGACACTCGGCAAATGTCCATGTCTCTTGGTACCTCAGTCTCTTCATCTATGAAATGAGCAGCTGTCCAGGGTTCTCCCCAAGCCCTTGTCAAGCTGTAGGGCTCTGGTTAAACCAGTTAGTAGTTCTGTGCCCCAACTCTCAAAAATTATCCTGCCCATAGCCAGTGGCAAGAGCTGTGACAGAACTACCCCCACACAGGAGGTTGGGTTTGAGAGACAAAGGGGAAACTGTCCTGTGTACCCTGCTTCATGTGCTTCCCCGATATGTGGGCACAGTTCTAGATGCTTCATCTTTGGAATCACATCCCTCACCCCTGGGCAATGAGATTGCTGTGGTTGGGACATGAAATGTCCCTCTCCCAAAAGGCACATTTGTTGGGTTTTTTTTTTCTCTAGTTGGTGGTACTGTGGGGAGGTTCTGAAAACTTTTGTGTTTTAAGATTTTTGTTTTATGTGTATGAGTGTTTTGCCTACATGTATTTAAGTGCACCACATGTGTGTAGTGCTTGCCAAAGCCAGAAGAGGGCATTAGATCCCCTGGAACTGGAGTTATGGACAGTTGTTAACTGCCATGTGGGTGCAAACCCTCTGCAAGAACATCCAGTGCTCTTAACCGCTGAGCATCTCTCTAGCCCCTAAATAAATGTAATTTAAAATAAAGACAGCTCTTGTATTAGCTGGTCCCGCCCATAGTCCAGGGTGAGTTCCTCCCCTATAATATCATTTTCCTTCTGTTTCTGATGTTTAATCTAATATCTAATCATAAAGACCTTTAGGTCTAAACTGCATGCACTTAAGGGATATGTTCACATATTGTATATAAACTGGAGATTCAGTGATCTCAGTCAAGTGACTGTTACACAGTAGGTTCAGGCTTCCAAAGCCTCATTCTAACTGCTGCATTACCAGTGTCAACATAAAATGCTCTTATGTCCCTTGGACCTCTCTAAATTCTGGTCAGGATAATGTCACAGACCATTTTACCCCTGTAGCTACTGAAAATGTCTGACTTCATTTTCCCCGTTTCCTCCTGTTCCCTCCCTCAATGCCCTGCCAATAAACCACAGCCTTTTTAAGTTGCCTTGGTCATAGTGTTTTATCACAGCAACAGACAAGTAACTAATACAGAAGGCATGATGGAGTGACTCAGTCTGTGATGGGAGCATGTGGCATCAGGTCTTCACATGGTGTTAGACCAGGAAGCAGAGAGAGCTGGACTGGAACCAAGGGCAAATAGAACCCTTCTAAGGCTCGTCCCTAGTGACCTACTTCTGCCATCCAGGCGGGCCCTGCCTCCTAAAAACTCCACAGTTGAGCATTTGAAAACATAGGCTTGTGGGGGACATGACAGAGTGTATGGTTGGCCAGTAACAGGCATCAATTGCAGGGAATGGTCACCTAGCATCTGTGCAGGGCCTCTCTGGAGAGCTGACCCCCTCCTTCCTTCAGTTGTAGGCTCTGGTAGAGGGGACCCAGGACACCAGGCCTGCCCCTTCTCCTGGTCTCCCTTGGTCTGGTCCCTGTTTTACTGACCTGAGGAACATGGTTGACCCTTGAAGTACTTTGGTCTTTTCTTCCAGGTTTTCTTTGGGAAAGGGCAGCCAGGCATCTATTGTCTTTAGATGTTCATGTTTTTTTAAATCAAAGGTCAAGAAGGCAACTGTCTGTTCTCTCACAGTGGACTGTGATGGGAAGGTTTTATATTCTCCCTGGTATCTTTGAGGGATT